TAGCGATCGATTTTAATTTTTATTTAAATAATTATATTAATATATTAGCGACCGAATATATCGGTCGCTATTTTTTAAAACTTTACCACGGATTTAGCGATCGATTTATTATAATAATTTCGGTCGTTATTTTGGTCTTCAATGAATAAGTGACCAAATTATTTAGCGACCACCTCATCGGTCGCTATTTAGCGACTGAAATGTAATCGGTCGCTAAAAAATTAACGATTTGCCCTTTTGCGACCAACCATTTCGGTCGCTAATTTCGGTCGCTAACAGAATAGCGACCGAATTTTGGCCATTAGCGACCAATTTTTTCGGTCGCTAATAGCGTTTTTCTTATAGTGATTAGCAGCAAATTAATATAATATATCTGAACTTGATTAATGAAAAATGTAATTTATGAAATTTAGTAAAATTAAGGAAATAAAATTTCAATTAATTCTTTATTTAATAATGATAAAATATTTTCTATAATTATCAAATATAAAAAAATATAATAAATATAAAAGTAAGGAAATGAATGTTTATTTGAAATATGTAATTTTTGTAAGAATGATTACTATTGTTTAAATTATGAAAATTTAAAATATGGGTCAGTGGTAGATTTTTATTATTGATTTTGAGGGAATAAAATACTATATTATTAATAAATAAGAAATAAATATAAAAAAATTAAAAAATATATAAAATAATAAAAGGTAAAATTTGTAAATATAAATTGAGATTCATGACCTTCACCTCCCAAAAATTCTCTCATCAAACACAAGAGAAAGGCCATATGTTTTCATAAATAGATAAATTTATAAATACGTTAAATGTGTAGTAATGTTAAGTAACATATATTACAAATAACTCTATAATGTTAAATAAGTATTTAAAATTGACTAGTTTAAAATATTAATGAAATCGATTTAAAAAGTTAAAAAATATTTTTATTTATATTTTTAAAATTTTATTTATTCTTAAAAAAATTATTTTAATTGAATTTTCGGTTTACAAATTAAAAATCAAATCAAATTATTTATTATATTTAAATATTATATATAGTAAGTGAAATTGGTCCACATAGATAATTTTTTACACCAGAAAAATCCATCCTCAAGTATTAGACTTCACTACCAAAATAAAATTTCAGTGTATATATATATATATATATATATATATATATATATATATATATATATATATATATATATTTATATATATGGTGTATTTATTTTTATTTCTTTTAAAATAAGTTTTAGATTCATAAATAATATATAAATTAACAACAACACCATTTGTTCGGCATATATATAAAGTATTTGTTTTTTTTTCTAAGTTTGTTTTAAAAATAACATTTTGAAAAATAATAGTTAATACTTTAGAACTAAGGAAAAATAATATTAGAACAGAAAAGTGAAAAAAAAATCTCGAAAAAGCAAATTTTATAAATTTTTTATAAACCATTTTTAAAATATGTTTAAAAAATAATTTATTAATATGTAATAACACTTCTAGATTCGTTGTTATGTCTTATGTATTATTATTTTTAAAATTCTATTTTATTATTATTTTGTTATTAAAAATACTTATTCTTAAGTAATATAAAAGTTACCAATGTCACGACATACACTCAATTAAAAACTAAAGAGAGTAAAAAAATACTCAATACTTTAATTTAGATCTCATAATAATGTATATGTTTTGTGTTTAAAATAATTTAACTTCGTAATAAGTAAATTTATTGGAATATATCCTCCCATAAAAATAATTACATATATCATGATATAATTGAGATTTTAGTTTCATTCTCATGTGTAGCATGGTGAATGTCAATCTTTCGTTAAGGAAACAAACACTTATAACAAGAAACGAAAATTTTTGTAATATTCTTATCACCTTCTAATACTAGCAAGAAAATATGTTGTATAAATATTACTAAGTATGGGATGTTATATTTGTATTTCAATTATTTTTTTTATAATTGTAGAGTTGTTCTAATAAATTTGACATAAAATATGATAAAATAAAATAAATAAATTAAATTAAGAGAACTATAAATTAAATTTAATTAAATGATTTTCTTTTAATTAGTCTAGTCTGAAGTTTGAATAGATTTAGACTAGCCAGGTGAAATAATAGTTATATTTTTAAAAAACAAATACAATATTATCTTATAAATATAGCTTCTCTTGGAAGCCAGCTAAGAAACCCTCCAACAACTTTTAGGTTCGAAAGGCGGCACTCTTTAAAAAAAAATAAAAAAACAAGGATGAAGGATTATCATTTGCGACCCTCTGAAGATAAAAATTCTTCAATAAAGAAGAAGAATCATGCTCTGCATAAAACTATACTTTCTTGGATATAACTTAAAGTTCTGATGAAGTTTGCAAAGACTTTTATATATTGATAGTGAGGCATGAATAATTAACCTTGAATCCAAACATAAGAGAAATCAAACCTACTTTGGAATAATAAACCTATCTTAGCATCTAAACAAGATTTATCCCCATGTAGGACTAAGTATGAATATAAAGGAAAATTATTACACACTAAATTATGGGCATTAAGTCATAATGATTTGGTTAGTGTTGTAAAGATTTTTCTCTACCTCTTTATCTTTGCTTCTAGTCATGGTTCCTCTAAAGCTTCCGTAATAGCATGAACTCTTGCCTCCCTTTCTCTTGACTTGATCATGCATTTAGTTGTTATTCCTCCTCGAATTAGTTCTCTACCATCCATGATCACATTACAATAAGAAGCTAGTGTGGATCTAATTTCCAAATTTGAACATGGTAATACTATGATAAGAGTGTTTTGGCAACCATTGCACCATCTATGGAGGAACATTATGTGTGGACATAAATATTACGGAGATGGTAAATTTGTTATTCTCTTGATGTGATTGTTGTGGTTATACTCAGAGGAATGCACCACCAAAATTTATTAGTCTTTAATGGATATGGAACCCAAATTTTTAAATTTTTGTCTTTTATTAATCTGATTCGAATGAGAGCACATAAAATTTAATTAAAAACCTTTTTACCAACAAAATAAATAATATAATAACAACTGGACTTTGATTTAATGTATTAAAAAGAAATTAAATACTGACAAGAACAGTCAAACTTAAATTTAACCATCAATTCTACTTACTGATTAACTATGTCTCTGCATTCTATTTATTTATTTTTCATCTTATTGTTATCACGTCACAATCAATTCTACTCTTATTCAGTGTTGAGGTTGAGATGAAGGTAGATTGAGATTGAGATTTGAGGGCCATCGTATCTTGATTTGGCCTCCGATGTGTCACTTTCTAGTTATGTTTGCCCACTATACTACCATCAGTCTTCTCTCGGAATTCTATCTTACATGAGACATAATTGAGCCACAGTAAAAAAAAATATTTGGGGAAAAATTATAAATAAATTATTTTTTATAAACCAAAATTAGATTCTTGAGTTTAAATTTTATTCTTTTAAACAACTTGAATTAACTAATTTATATAATAATTATTTTTATTTATATAATTAATAAATGTTTTTTAAAGAAATTTATTTGAAAAAATGGTGAATACTGTGATAAGGTTATATTTTGCCATATAAAACAAAATATAGTAATTTTAAAGATAAAGGAACAAGTATTTTGGTAATTTTCATGATTTTAGTTTTAAATTTTATTTTATGTTTATTTCTAGACAATTAGCGACAAATATATGTTTTAGCTTTGTTTGTTTTAAATTATGTACTTTATGATATTAATGTTATATATTTGTTTTTATAATGATAGTAATAATAATAATAATTATAAATTGATTAATTTATCTAATTTTTTTATTCCCTCGTTGACTATCATTCATTCCAACAAAATGCTAACTCTATTGACTTGTCAACATCGTATAAATTACCTACTAATAATAATAATAATAATAATAACTATAACTGTGTCTCAATTCTTATGATTAATTTATTGTTTTCTAATTTAGCCAGTAATTAAGAGTGTATTTTAATGTGATAGTAAAAGTACCTATATATTCTCCATTAATGATTAAACATCATGCAATACTTAAACTTGAAAATAATGCATATTAACTAATATGAATCTCCATATTGAATGACCTAAGTCCCTAAGTACCCCATATATTCATCACTACTACCTCATTCCTATCTGTGATGATCTATGTGATATTTTTCTCAATAATTCATGCATTTTTCCTATTGTGTACAGAAAAGAACTTTCACAGATGACAGATCTGAAAATCAACATTGGGCCCTGCGATTCTTCACTCTTCATTTTTTTTGTCAGTGCAGAATACAATGAATTTGTTAACACTCCAGCCCACGATTCAGCTACACGACAAACAAGGCCCATGATTAATGTGCCAGTCCCACATTGCAACACCAACAGTAATAATAAGCACCACTAACCTCACCCGTTCCTACCAAAATCCCAAAACGACAACTCTACCTTACACCGCTGTCCTCCACGGGCCCTACCTCTCTGCACCATGCCGTGACTCACCGGCGGGTAACCTATGAAAAAATAAATTTTGCTCCTTCCCGCGCAAACACACCGACCTTTTCATGGCGCCGCCTAATTTGAACCCATGAAAATAACGCGGCGAAACGTTGCCCACAGGATCCACATCATCGTCCACTGAATAATCGCCACGTGGCAGACTCCATTGTTACCTCTTAGCTGTCGCCTACTCACACAGCGTTAAACCTGCCTCCCGTTACGTCCGCCCCACAGGATTCCACCCCTACCCTCTCATCCCACCATTTTTTCAAATTTTCAAAATTTTAAAGTTAAAAAAATTATTGCATTATTTTGCTCTTATTTGTCCTCCACTTATATAAACCCCTCTCCTGAAAACACATTTTCACTGCTCCAAAGTTTGAAAGTCCGCTCTTTTACACGAAAAAAATATTGTGGGGTTTTGGATTCTGAAAGAACGGACAAAAGGGTGTCTAAAGATAGTGTTGGATTGGGATTTGGCATAGTGGAGTGTCATGGAGTGGGAAGACGAGTGCAGAACACCAAGGTTGGTGCAGAATCAGATTCCGGCAATTTTCATCTGCCCGCCACCACCGCCAAGGAAGAAGCCGGTGACCGGAAAGAGACAACCACCACCGAAGGAGGGGTACTTCCACCCACCTGATCTTGATTCCTTGTTTTCAGTTCCAGCCAGAAAAGAAACATGTGTCTAACAAAGGTGTAGCAACCTTTTTATATTTTTGATGTGTATCTGAATTTGGTTTGTTACTTTTAGAAGTAAAGAAGACTATTTAATTAACTGTTTATTAGTTTGATAATATATATAAAGAATAATTATTTGTAGTGTTATTTTATGGACATTCCTTTTTGGTATGTTGGTAGGTGCTTGCTGATGAGTTATCTAGAATGATGATATATATATATATATATATATATATATATATATATATATATATATATATATATATATATATATATATATATATATATATATATATATATATATATAGTAATGCTTTTGTGTTGATATGTACTAATGTATTTATTTCTTCCCTTTTAGGTTTTGATCTTTTCAATTTCCTTGTGGGTTTTCACTTGGTTTTCGCTCCTATAGGCTAGTCTCTCTAGCTTCATTTTCTGACATTTTCTGTTGTTTAGGATTTTGGTCTTTTAAATTCCCATTTTTCATTTTGCCTTTTATTGTAGCTTCTTCATTCATGTGCTTCTGCTACTACTCTGTCAGAAATTTTCTTTTTACCAATATTCACCTCAGCAGAAAAAAAAAAAAAAAAATATATATATAATATATATATATATATATATATATATATATATATATATATATATATATATATATATATATATATATATATAATTGCAACCTTTATGTCACTGGTAACTATGTACTCATACCATACTTCATCACTATTCTGAAAAACTGGCGTTAAGACTGCTCTCAGGTTGTGTCGTTTTCATAAAGATTTTGATGAAATTAATCACGAAATAAATAGAAATTTTTGAATTTGAGGTAAGAAGAATGTTGGGGTGGTTTGACTTTGATTTTGTCCAGAATATTTTATGAGTAAGATTATACTTGTGCTGAACCAAGTCTATCCAAATTTTCAAGACTTGACGTGGTACTAGTAAACTTTTTTCTATGACTCACCTACTATAACTTTGTACCTCTAGGTCATGAACCTTAAACATATAGCATTAAATTTAAAGAAACAGAAAAAAATGGTATGGCAGAGAAAAATGATCTTTGTGGCATGATAAGACAAAAGATATTGAATTGATATGTACAGTTCATTAAAGAAAAGTGGGGGGAGAGCCTAGAGTTAATGTCCTATGTTCCCTCACAACAACTGACTGATGTTCATATAAAGGAGTTTACAAATTCAAGTTTGCATGATCTCATGATGACGCTGGGAATGCAAGATTCATCGACTTGAACTAAAATAGGATTATTTTTTTACATATTATTAATATTATTAGGAACGTCAATACAAATCCTTAAATAAAAGGATTTATTTATAAAACAAATAAACCATTTTAATTCTCCTTAAGATTGATTCCACTTTTTCTTAACATATATGAGGTAATTTCTCATTGAATGAATAGCAAACATATAAGGCATGGTAACGTGGTGCTGTGGGTGGGTTTTGCCTCCATTTTACTCACTTCCAATTTGTTTTTAATATTTTGGTTGGGATTAGAGATTGAATTTTTATTTTTGTTTTTATTAATTTTCGTATCTGTTTTGATTTTATATCATTTTTAAAAAATAATTATATTTATAATAAATTAATTTTAATATTTTTAATATATATTTTATATAAAAATAAATATTTATAATTTTATAATTATTAATTATTATTATTATTAAGTATATATTTTAATTTGTTATATTTATATTAAAATATATACATAAAAGAAATGTTTAATATTTTTATATGAATATAAAATATTTATAATAATAATAATAATATTATTATATATTATAATATTATATTTAAATATTTAATTATATATATAAGTTAATTATTTTTTAAATTATTATTTTAAAATATAAAATATATAATTTATAAAAAATATTTAATAAGTTAATTTTAATTTAATTAGTTCAAAAGGATTATAAATTTTAAAAATAGGAATAATAAAATCTAAAAAATATAGTATAATAAAATCTAATAAAGATAAATTAAAAATAAAGTAATATTAGTTATTATTAAGATTGATATAAAATATTTAAAAAAAATAAAAAAGAAGAAAAATAAATTTTGTATTTTTAAATTCATGGAAAAGATTGAAAAAATAAAATTGAATGAAAAGATTTAAAAAAATGTGAAGAAATAAAATAATAATAATATAATGAATTGATTTATTTAAGAAATTGAAAAAGACAATAAAGTAAAGAGTAGATAAAAGAAAAATAAAAAATGTAAAATATAAAAAAATGACTATATATAATGTAAGAAATAAAATGAAATGTTTTTAAAATATTAAAATTTTAAGATTTAAATTTAAATATAAATGTGGGGTAGGGGTGAGAGCATGGTGGAGATTATATTATAATTATATTATTAACAATTAGTATCGTTGTATGTAATAAGTTGTAAAAATGAGTATTTGGGAAAAAACAATCCACATGTAGGTGATCCTATATGATAATGGATAATTGGTGAACAACATATGACATATCAGGTCTAGTGGTCATAAGGTAGATAAGATTTTCTACCAAACGTTGATAGAGAGTGAGATCCGGCAAAAGATATCCTTCTTTCTTGTATTTGACATTTACTTCCATAGGAGTATCAATTGAAGTAGTTTCATCTAAACTCGTCGAATTGATCAAATATTGAATGTACTTTTGTTGGTTTAAAAAAATGCCATTAGATTGATGATGTACCTCCAATCCTAATAAATATGTGAGTTGTCCAAGATCTTTCATGCGAAATGTTGCATGTAACTTAGTAATTAATCCATGATCAATTTCCGTAATGATGAGATCATTCACATAAACCAAAATGAGAACTAAATCGATAGGAGACTTCTGAAAGAAGAGAGAATAATCATATTGAATTTGTGTGAAGGAGAACTTAAGTAACATAGTACAAAACTTCTCAAACCATGTGTTGAGGAGCCTATTTAAGTCCATACAAAGAACGTCATAACTTACAAATATTAGTAGAAGAAGAAAGAGCCCTACCAGAAGAAGAAAGTCTAATGTAAATTTATTCTTTGAAATCAACGTGAAGAAAAATATTTTTCATGTCCATCTGATGCAACGACCAAGATTGAGAAACAACAATAGTAAGGATTATTTGAATTATAGTCATCTTGGCAACATGAGCAAACATCTCGTCATAATCAATCTCATATTCTTATCTATTACCAAGAGCTACTAATTAAGCTTTGTAGCGATTCAAAGAGCCATTAAAGCGAAACTTGATAGAGAAAACCTATTTATTTCTAATAGGTTTGGTTGTGGGAGAATAACACACAATGTCTTGCATTTCCTTTTTTCCAACATTCGTGTTCCATAGTCTCTGTATAACTAGAATGAATATAAATGGAAGATAAGGTAGTTGATAAAGAGATAGGCGTAAAAAAAACCATACTAATTAGGGGGTTTAGATGATCAAGTGGACTGAAAAAAAGGTAGGACAATTGTGATCGGATCTAGTACAGGAGCAATGACAAAATCAAGTGTTGGGGCAAAATCATGAAGTACACAAAATCAGGCTTGAATCGTTTCACAGTTTGTGAAGAATTTGAAAAACATGGCATAAGAGATATACATGAAGATGATGGTGTAACATATGATGAAAAGAGATACTGATTTTTCAAAGAAAATCACATTCCTGGAAACTCTAATGCGATGAGATTAATGATAATAATAAACATACCCTTTTTGAGTAAGAGCATAGCCTAAAAAAGCACACTTAACAAATTGGACAGTTAGTTTGTGACGATCATGAGTAAGAAGATGCACAAAACAAACACAACCAAAAGTAAGAAGATTAGAGTATGAAAGAGAATGACCAAACAACTTTTAAAAAAGGAGAAACATTATGTAGCGTGAGAGAAGTAACTGATTTATTAAAAGAACAACATTAGAAAATGTTTCACATGAAAAACGAGGAGGAATAAAAGATTCAAGCAGAAGAGTGTGTACAATATCAAGAAGGTGACAATTCTTTCTTTCGATAACACTATTTTGTTGTGATGTGGAAGAACAAGAATGCTAAGATGTAATCCCCTCATTTTGGAGAAAATTATGAAATTCATTACACATATATTCTTCTCTAAAATCAAATCTTAAGATTTTTATGTGAGTAGAGAATTGAATCTTAAGAAATGAGACAAAACATTGAAAAACAGAGAAAATTTCTACCTTAGACTGAAGAAAATATACCAAGCAAATTTATTATAGTCATCTACGAAAGTAACAAAATACTTATAACTCGTATGAAAAACAACAGGTGAAATCACCCCAACATCACTATGAATAATGCCAAAACAATGATTTGCACGAGATCATTACGTGGAAATGGTAAAATTCTTTTTTTACCAAGTTTGCATGTTATACAATCAAAAGAAATCGAAGAATCTTTATTGCCCAAAGAATCAAATTTGAACAAGGTACCAAGTACATGAAAATTTAGATGGCCTAAATGATTATGCCACATTTTATTCACCTGTCTATCATCAATATAGACTAGAGAAATTACAGGAAAAATAAGAAAATTTGTGGAAGAAGATAAGCATAGCAAAAAAACTTGTCCCACTTTAGGTCCCTTTAAAATGATCTTCCAGGACACTTGATCCTACACAACACAACCAAAATAAGAAAATTTGACATTATAATCATGATAAACTAATTGACCAATAGAAATAAGATTTATAGAAAGAGTGGGAGACACAAAAACATTAGTCAAAGAAGGGAAATATTACCAATAACACTAATAGGCAAAGAGATGTCATCTGTTGTGTAAATTTTCTGATTGCCATCATAATTTTTCATATTGGATAGAGACATATAAGAATTTGTCATATGGACGCTTCAGAATCAAGGTACAAAGATTTAGAAGAAAAGTGAGGATTACCTAAGAGACCAAAGGCAAGAAATAAAGATCACTATGAATAATGTCAAAATAATGATTTGCACAAGATCATTGCGTGAAAATGGTAAAATTTTACTTTTACTAAATTTGCATGCAATATAATCAAAAGAAATAGAAGAATCTTTATTGCCCAAAGTCAGAACAAAAGTTGAAGCTGACAATGTAGCAAAACTCGAAGCACAAATAGAGGAATAATAAGGAGTTCTTTACTTCTTTTCAGGGATAATTGGACAAGTTGTGATAATATGCCCTCGCTACTTGTAGTAGTTACAAAACTTTTATGGGGAATCCTTCGAAATATGACCAAATTCTTTATAGCTATAGCATTGGACAAAACACATATCTTTGGTCTTATTCTTTACTGTGTTGCATAGGCCGCATTATTAAGAGCAGTAGAATTTATGTTATGTTCCATGGCTGCGTGAGTTGTTATGCGTTGTTCCTCTCGAAGAAGTTCGCTCAAGTAAACATGCAAAGTTGGCACTGGGTCGT